GGCTGGGGAATCCTGGGAGTTGAAGTCCACCCATCTTCAAGCGGCCAAGGTTGAGAAACACCGAGCTAATCCAATCCAGCCTGCTGAACAGAGGCGTAAGACGACAGAAATGCAGAAGTGACCCCTCTTGGCTCCTCCGACAGTTGGGGCCAGTCCCAGTCCTGCTGTTAGACAAAGGTGACACCTGCCATGGATGCCAACGGGGAGGGGGGCAATGCAATCCAGGATGGCAGAGCTGCCAAGCTTTCCAAACTCTGCACTTCCTAAATTCCCCTCCTGTCCCAGGAGCATAAAATGAGAGTCAACGTTTCCACATGGACTGGAGAGGAGACCCCCTTTTATTCTCTTTACTCCAAAATGTCCTTCCAAGCTAAGAAAAGTTTCCTTCCTTCCTTCCTTCCTTCCTTCCTTCCTTCCTTCCTTCCTTCCTTCCTTCCTTCCTTCCTTCCTCTTCCCTTATTCCCCTTCCTCTCTCCTTTCCCTCTTCCTCCCTCCCTTCCTCCTTCCTCTTCTTTCCTCCTTCCTTCCCTCTTCCTTCCCTCCCTCCCTCCTCCTTCCCTCCCTCTTCCTTCCTTCCTTTTCCTTCCTTTCCTTCCTTTCTCTCCTCCTTCCTTTTCCTTCCTCCTTCCTCCCCTCTTCCTCCTCTCCTTCCTTCCTTCCTCCCCTCCTTCCTCCCTCTCTCCTCCTTTTCTCCTTCCTTCCTTCCTTCCTTCCTTCCTTCCTTCCTTCCTTCCTTCCTTCCTTCCTTCCTACACCTCTTTTTTGCCCATCCAAGACTCTTGGCTCAAACCTCCCACCCCCACTTTGAAAAGAAAATTCAGACTTGCCTTCAGTTGCTCAGATAATCCAGATTCTCCTCCGCCTGGCCGAGGCACCTCGGGGTTTATAGAAGCTCAGCCCTCCCTCGGGTGCCCTTTGGACAGGAAAGGGAGGGAGAGGCACTAACCGCAAGGGTTAGAAAGCCCTGCCAACCCAGCCGGGCCGTTGCGTCAGGCAGGGCGAGGTCTGCGGGCATTCGGAGGCCGTTGGGTAACCGGGGAAAAGGAAAGAGGAGGTCGCTCCCCAGCTCAGCCCTTGTCTGGGCTTCAGGCTGCCAGACAGACTTAGATGCCAACCCAAAATATTTGACTCAGCGGGCATCAGCTTTTTCCAGATTTCTGTTGCAGAAGCCGGGGGAGTGAGGAGCCCCCCTTAACAACATGGGGAGCCCAAAAACAAAGGAACCGATTTCGCCCACCCCGTGTCACAAGCCAACCATGTTTCATGAGCCTTATCTTTTTTTTTTTTAGATTTTTCATCCTGCTTATATTATTTTTATAAATAACTCAACGGGGCGAACAGATGTAATACTCCTTTCTCCTCCTATGTTTCCCACCACAACAACCCTGTGAGGTGGGCTGGGCTGAGAGAGGGGGACTGGCCCAAAGTCACCCAACCGGCTTTCATGCCTAAGGCGAGACTAGAACTCACCATCTCCTGGTTTCTAGCCTGGTGCCTTAACCACTAGACCAATGTTTCTCAACCTTGGCAGCTTGAAGATGTGTGGACTTCAACTCCCAGAATTCATTTTTTATTATTATTATTATTATTATTATTATTATTATTATTATTATTATTATTATTA